AAGGCCGGTTTGTTTAACTTTTGACTTTCCTGTTAAAATTTACAAGAAATAACTGAATAAATGGTAAAAAGAAGAAGGCAAAAACAAAGGTTGTAATATTTTCTAGGGGCATGGATCGTATGGGTGATGCCCTCAATTTTGTTTTGATAATGAGGTACTTAGAATGAGTACATTATTTTCTTATCTAGGCATTATAGGAAAATGGTAAATTTGTTAAAATAGAAAACTCTTATTTGATCAACAAAGAAAGCTAGTTCTCTCTGGTAAAAAAGCTTTGTTGGAAAAATTGTTAGTATCTGTAAAGGTTCTACAGATCCGCATGTTTAAAAACAATGATTTTCCTATTCTTTGTTATGGTATGAAGTTTGGGGAATAGAAAATTTAAAGTGTATTAAAAATCAGTTTAGCTTAAATTTTACCCAAAATTATACTAACCCTCAAGCCAAAGTAACTCCCAATTGTATGTTATATAGTGAACTTGGAGTTACTCCGATATTTTGCAAATAAAAAAGTAGAATTATTTAACTACTGGTGGAAGCTTTGGAATGGTAAAGATTCGATAAAAAACCTGCATACTCAGTATATGTTAGATATTGAACTGAATTCCGTGGCTTTATTTTGTTAGGGAATACTTTTGGACGGACTTTGGTTTATCAAATGATTGGGTTAAGTCAAATTTGTACCTAGTCGTTTTCAATTTCAAAAGCAACACTTCGAGATTAGTTCATCCCAAAGTTGGAACAGTGATGTCCCATCTTTAAAGCAATTTTTTTACTACCGGGTTTAATATAACTCAGAGTTTGTTTCGGAAAGATTTTTTAATACTTCCTTGGCAACATTCATTCGCCTTTGTTAAATTAAGATTGTGTGTATCATTAAATGCCATTGAGAAAAGGTATAATTCATTATAAGTAGAGAGAAAATTTACTATATATTACTTTATGTGAGTCAATCCCAATGGGTGGCGAATTTCACTATCTTCTTTTATTGTTCAAATTTTGTTAATAGTAAACGTAAATTTATTTAAACCCCGTATTATTATAGGTTTCCTAATGGCAATTTGGAATTTGAATCTTATGATTAAAACAAGTCCAACATTTAAAAAAAACCTTGCTTAAAAAACTACAGATTGTATTTGCTCAAATAACAGGCCTAATAATTCTATGTGTGTAACCTTTTATTTTGTAAAGAAATAATCTACAACATGAAATAAAAGTATAATATCTATATTCATTAGTCTTCCTAGAACTTTTTGTAATTGAAGCATAATTCCGGTTTATTATTAAGAATCTAGTCACATTTTTTTATGGGAATAAATAATTGTCACCTCATTCTCGCTGTTTTAAATGTAATATTTTAATAAAATTTAAAATATAAATCTAAATCATCTTATATACTTCTCTTGGCAACTGTTTTCAGCTTTGTTAAAATTAAGAGTGTATAAATCCATAAAATGCCAAATTGGAAATGTTAGATTCCTAAATCATAGAGAGAAACTTAAGTATATATACTGTATGTGAATCAAACCAACCGGGTGATTAATTTCACTAACTTTTTTATTATTTACATTTGTTAATAATAGACGTAAATTTATTAGACCACATCATTATAAGTATCCTAATGCATTCAAATTTGAAGATCTTACAGTCTATATTCAACATTATATAATCTTATAAACTATTGACCTTATCAATAGTCTCTTAGAAAAAATTGTTAATGAAGCATAGATTTCGGTTATTATTAAAATGTAGTGATATCTTTATTTTAATTTACGGGTACAAGATAATTGTCACTCATTCTCCTGCTTTTATGTATATTTTTCTATGTTCCGGTTGTTACATGTTCACAATTTTGCATTTTATGTAACATGTTCTTATGAACAATGACAGTATTGAATAAATCTTGAAAACATTTCATTGGTCAGTTCTTAAATTACTAACAAGTTAAATTTCAGATATATAACTTTTGATTAACCATGCCTACTCAAGTTCTATATTACTACACATCCAACTACAGATTATTTGATGCTGCTTTAACGAGTTATAAATCTTATCAAACATTAACGAGATCACCACTTACAAGTACGTCCATGATCTCGGTTACTCAAGCGCATGAAAATAGCGAAAAGCACACAAGAAAAACGAACTTATCCGGCATTATCAGTTATTTATATGAAATGGATACAAAGTTTATAATTTTCATTTATTTGACATATTTATGAAGTATTTATATAACCGCTAACGACTGAATGGTTTGTTTATAATAAATGTTTGTCAAAGTATTTTAGATTAAGAAGCTTTCTTTCGGTTCTTTTTTCGGATTTCAGGTTTCTTTCGTTATTTCCAAAGGTGTTGCAAATCTGCATTCTCCCACGCAGTGATCTCTCTTTACAGAATTACTGTCCGTAGCGTATCCGGTAAAATGTGTTGATTTCAATAAAACGTTGCCATTTATTAACTTTCTGTTCAAATTTCGATTTGAATAAACTTTAATTACTTAAATGTTTTTTCTATGTACTAAAACGACATTCACAATAATGGAAATAAAAGAATTGCATGACGGTAAAAATGAACTGAGACGTAATACGAGAGTTAGTTCAGTTTAAGTTGGGGACATTGATAAATAGAATTTTTTGGAAATGAATCGTAATTTGTTGGATGGAGAAATAGTATTTGCAAAAACTCACTTACTTAGAACAGATTTTGTTTTGTTTCCACAATAAACAGTTGTATAATTGATAATTTAAAACAAAATTGCCATTTCAAATTCACAATTTTAATTACTTGAAAAAAGAGAAATCCTGTTCATATGCTGTATGAAACTGCTTTCGTGTTTGCGCATTGCGCATGCGTATTGTTGGATTGTCAAAACTGTTATCGGAAAAGTCTACTTTAACTATATAGTAAGGTTCCGGTTTATTTCCTGAACAGTTCATTATGAGTTTCATTTTTAAATCACAAATTACATTGTTATATGATCACATACTTTCGGTGTGTGACAGGGATGTAGTACAACGTTATATTATGGTTACAGTACAATGAATGACAAAGTTTTTTATCCTTTATATTACAAGCACAAGGGGTGTAAGGTAAATCTTTGCAGTTTGCAAGGTAATATGGATTACTTCCCATGATTACACTTAATACAATGTTAATGATAAGGATAGAGATTACAGACTTAAACAATTTTTTACAGGATTTTGTTTCATTTTAAAAAGGCCATTTCTTTTATTTATGACATTTTAGGGTGTTTTAAACCTGGTCAAGTTACTTTGTAGGGCCACTCCCCTCGGCATTAGTCAGGACACCGGCAGCTGGTCCGCAGTTGTTGACGAAGTAGCGATCCGGTGTTACAGCCTACGGGGGGCTTCTATTTAGTTGAGTTGTGTTTGCTACCAGCCAAGCTGTAAATCTTTTGCCGATGCCCTGTGCCTTCTCAGCGACGTGCACGCTCCGAGGGGAAGTGGGAAGTGAGACAGCAGGCGGATGCTGAATTTTCTCATTTATAGCAAGTTTTTATTGTTTTTGTTGTGTTTTTTCAGTTTCTCTTGTTTATCAGTGCTTTTGTAGGTGAGGTATATTCAACACGGAGAAAAAGATATTGTATTTAATGTAGTAAAACTCATAAAACATTTACCACTTAAGCAACTAATATATAATAAAACATTTCATTACTGTTACATCAGAATTTAAATGGCACTTATTAAGATTGCCCAGTGATATACCTAAGCATTGACAATCATATTATTAAACTTCACTTAAATATTTCTAGATTGCAGATCAAAAATAAGTAACAACTCAGTCTAAACGTTCAGAACTCTGGAACCCAAAGTACGTTGATATGTAGCATATTAACACACTTTGGGGTCAATAACAAAGTGTGCTGTGCAGTTTACCGCATTTTGGGGTCCAACAGTATGTTTGACCCCCAAAGTGCGGTGTAACATTGCTTTACTTACCAGGAATATTTACTAAAAGTGAAGCCAGGCCTATATTTCCAATGTATGGCCTTGTCGTCTTGTAATGTGAGCTGCTCATTTCACATGTACATAATTAGGTACATTTTTTTTTATTTATAACGACTTCATCGAATCATTCAGAGAGAAAAAAATAATTTCTTGTTAAAGTGACGACAGCCCTGTGTGTACTATATAAAATTGACAGCAGCGGTGCTTTTTAAACTATATAAAAGTCACAAATATCCAATGAAAAGAGTTACAAACGTCCAGCATTATAAATGCCCATTTAGGGACTTACTTTGTATTACGTTACAGCCTATTTTGCCCGTCACTCTGTATCAATTTCATGTGTGCTGTATATATTTTGAACCGCTGCAGGTTTCAAATTACTTATTATTATAGGATCACCTGTCAATATTTAAACCATAATTTTCATATCGTGTAGTATACCCTGTTTGACATTACCAAGACAATCTACCTGAACTAAGGTCATCCGAAATAACAAATGCGTTTGCAAACTGTTCCAACCGAACTAGCGTAAAAGAATTTCTATCAGTATTATCATTTGCAATGTTAAAGGTGGATTAATTGACTAGCTAATGGGCTTTTTATTAACTTTTTACCGCGCTGTTCAAGTATTGAAGCAATATAATTTATTCATTTTCGTAATGGTATGAAGTATCAGTCATCGAAATACATGCAGATAGAACTCGCAGCAAGATCTTGACATAAATTGTTGAACAAAATGGATATTATGTGGTATTAATATCAATGCATTTGTTGCTTGTTTAAAGGCACATAATGCCTGAGAAACCAATAATGTTATCCTTCGTTAGGAAGGGCTTACATAAGTTTTATAGCGATTGAATGATTTTATATCATTTTCGCTGCTGATACCAGGAAAAAATAGGACGTAATATGAAATTATTTGTCTTAAAGTAGGAAAATGTAAACAAAATGGTATTTTGAGTTCCATACAAAATATTGAATCACTATAATTCAATTAATTGACAAAAGGCAATAGAAGTAAAGTCAAGTCACATAATCTATTTATTGGTAAATGGTACATGTTCATCGCCAAGTAACATTTTGGCGGTACAATAAATGTAGAGAAAAGTAAGATGCATTATGAATTATACATTATGAATTATACATTACAAATTAAGAACGTACATATGTTTCAGTGTACAATAATTCAAACTTATGTTTTAAGTAGATTCAGTTCATAGTTGCCTTGCTGAATAAACAAATTTTGCTATGTCAACAATTACAATTTTGTTTGATGAATTTATTTAAATTAGGCCATGAGCAATATCATCTAGGTAACCATGTTTTCCTTCAGTCATTATAATATGGACATAAATGTATTAATAAAAATGATACTCAGTTTCAATTTGTTTCATACTGAATTTTGTAAAGAAACGTTGGTTTCCTTCATTATTTTATAGCTAAAATAAGGAAAAGATGGTTTAGGTAATAGGCCCATAAGAGACCTTTTGGAATAAATTACAAATAACCCAAAAAAATAAGCTATCGAAAAATGAAATAAAAGCATTTCTAAAGCAGAATCAACAAGTTAAATTCATAACAGGAGCTGTCAGTTGGACTATTTTCCGTGCTTGAAAGTAGAATAAAAGCAAGGGTAATGTAAAGTTTTCGATGTTTAAAAAGAATATGTCAAAATCCATGTTGGAATTGTGGGTATTGGACAGTGACCTTATCCCCTCAAGTTTTGAATTTGAAAACATGGATTTTTTAAAAGGCTGTCTTACAATTTGGCCTGTTTACATAATCTTTCTGGTTTGTTACTGCCATTGCTTTTACACATGGCATTACAGACATTACTCTCAGGATACTTAAATTAGCCCAAATGTCATCAAAAGCAGTTTTGCATGTGGAAAGAAGTGTATTTTTCAAGTCTGTTAAAATTAAATAAAACAAGAGCGATCAGTAATCACATGTGTTGCCTCACGATGGCCAATTTCATGTTGGGACAAAGTTTGTGACAGACGGACAGACAGACGGACAGTGCACAACTAGACTTGGTACTGATCATTCCTGTAAAGTTTGGATAAAATTGCACCAGTAGTTTATGAGGAGTAGTCCGGACAAGCTTTCGCGTATCTGGCAACACACAGAAAAAACACATTTTTATCAAAGGGCCATAACTCGGCCAAAAATCATTCAACCGGAAAACCCTTGCAATATGCGCAAGGACTTGAGCTACAGATCAATCCTGTAAAGTTTCATTGAAATTGCTTTAGTGGTATAAGAGAAGTAGTCCGGACAAACTTTAAAATTAAAAATTATTAAAGGGCCATAACTCTGCCAAAAATCATTGAACCGGAAAATGCTGACAATATGCACAACAAAACTTGGTACTGATCATTCCTGTAAAGTTTGGATGAAATTGCACCAGTAGTTTATGAGGAGTAGTCCGGACAAGTTTTGTGACGGACAGACGGACAGACAGACGGACAGACAGACGACGGAGAAGTGATCCCTATATGTCGCCACTACTCCGTAGAGGTGACACAAAAATGAGAGACGATATATGGCGTTGAACTAAGTTTTATCTCTTTTATAACGTGTGTAATTTCTTTTATTTATCAATTACAGCTCTCTTTGCTCTAAACAGATCTAACAATGTCATAATGTTAAGCATAAATAAAAGAGGTACCACATGGGGAAAAATCTCTAAAAAGTAGTCTCTTCATTGAAAAGTGTGAAATTATATTTATAATTTGCACTGTGTTTTTTATCAAATATAATGTTCACTGATAAATCAATAATTCACTCAAAAGCATAAAATAAGAAGATTAATAAGCCGACATGTTAATAACATACATACAACACGCCAAAACATATATTAGACAAAAATATGAATATTTAAAGGTCATAAAAATATAATTACTTTTAATTTATAATTAATAATTATACACATCTAAATGGGGTTAGCTGGCAGGCTTGAGGATAGAATAAATAATCAAAGGAAATATTACAAAAGAAAACAACAATAAAACACAACAAAATTTCAAAAAGACACTTTTGACCCGCGCACAAAATATACTAATATATGAAATTATTCTTACTAATTCTAAGTTTACTCAATGCTAGATCTGAACTCCGTAAAAACATCCAAATTCCTAAATATATTTGGTTGATTCAGATTTGGAAAAAACATGGGTAGGAAACTATAATACCTATGAGTGTTGGCATGTATTTAAAGCAGCATTCTAGTCTTCCTTAAATTGATCAAGATATCCACATTTGATAGAGTTTGCTTAATTTACCTTTAGAACATATGAAATATAACTTATTGCTCCATCAAATGATAACATTGTTACTATGATTTTGACATGCAAAAATATACATTTTGATATACTGAAACACTATAACTTGTTCACATTTTGTATTATTTCCGTTAGTGTAACCAAATAGCATAGTTACTTTATTCAATTTTGGCATGTTCAGTTTATCTATACAAATTTCGTGCATTGATTTATTGCTGCGAGTACATTCTCAAAAGATATGTTCTATAGTTTCATCTTAAAGGCTACACAGGGGACCGTTTATTTATCTTATTTTGAACAAAGGATCATTCATACACAAAGTCCAATATGAAAAAGTGCCCTTTGCCAATTTGAACTGTAAAAACACTCAATGTCAAAATTTTTGAATTTTGCTGTTTTTCATATAATTGGCTATAACCTTGTAATGTATAAAAGGAGTATCTTCTTACTTGGATTAAATAATCTTTTGGAAAATGAATGGACTGTCTTCATACGTGGGCACAACAATACTTGAGACTATGCTCAAATCTGATATTAGAAAATGTTAGTAATTGCTACACTGTCTCTATGTAAATATTTAATAAACATTATCGACTTCACACAAAGTAGATATTAAAAAATTCTACACACTATTAGGTGGTCATAATATGAAATTATAGTGTTATAACTGTTATTAAAAATCTGCGAGGTTTTTTTTAACAGCATTTTTTAACATGTAATAGGGAACGCAGCTTTCCATTTATAATTTATTTGTTGTTTTATTCAAATTAGGCGTATAAAAAGAATTTCACAGATTTCAATAAATTTCTGTGATTCATATAATTTACTCAACGATCTTTAAATATGTGACTCAACTATTTCTTTCATAATTCTAAGGCTTCCGGTCCAAAATATATATCAAACAATAAAATCAGAATTTCTATATGGTTATGTCAATATAATATTAATAAAAAAATAATATTTATATGACGGTGTCTACTACTTTTAATAAATTACAAACGATGATAGAAATAGGTAGATAACTCATCATTCCAAGTTGATAACAAATAATAGAAGTTTTCTACACTAGTTCCAGAATTATAACAGCTAAATAGATATACATTTCTAACATCGGCATATTTACAACACTGGCAAATGTATGATATTCACATTCTATACATCTAATGTTCCTTTCTAAGCAAGTAGCACATAAACGATCATTGTATAAACTATTTAAATACCTGCCTATCTCTATGTTGAACATCTGAACTTTGATTAAGCAATTTAATGTTTTAATGGCTTTTAAATAGACAAAAAGCAAACTCTCAAATTGGTTATAATGTAAGTCGGCGCGACTTAAGTTATTAGTTAAGACATAAAAATGTACCCATTTATCGGCTTAATATAAAAGTCCATATACAACTTATGCAATTGCGTTGTTTTATTTTTGTGTCTTTCAAGCTTCACAAACTCTTGGTATTTACTTATGAGAAACGCGACGGGCGTAAATTAACATTATCATGTAGGTTCTGAGTACGACAATTTTCAATAAATTTTTAAACATTTTTAATCACAGTTTGTGAAATCCATGCATATCCAAATAAAAGTAATTAAACATTTATTGTCCAACAATTCCTTCAAGTATTATCAATAGCATATAACATGACCGTGGAAAAATAAATTATTTCTAATCATTTGGGTCGTTTTCTGGAGCAACTTGTAAATACGGGTAGTTGCCTTTAAAGGCTCAAGGAAATTAAAATAAGACATTTAATTTATATATTTACAATTAATTTCAATGTGGTCGTTCAAAATTCTTTAAACGAAAATTCTTAAAATAGGAGAAAAGAATGTAAATAAGTGTTCAAGTCCATAGCAGTCTACAAAAACATGTCAAAAATAGATGCAATATATTCACTTAAAAAAGCGTAGAAAGATATTTACTCCATAAATAGAACATTATAGAGTATGTCCCAACTAATCAGTAGTCGTTGATATTTTTGTTTACTAAAAGGTGTTAATATTATTGAATGTTTAACTATTCTCTCATATAGTGTCACTTTTTACAAATATTATAAAACTTGTGCTTCTACAATGAACATTAAACTTGTTACCACTTTTGCACGTACACACATGCCACTCAAAAATAAACATGTCGCAGTGTGACATACCATTTATTTTTTCAGCTAATGTTTTACCAGACCATATGATAATACTAAAATGGTGCTTAGGGTAACTTACAAAAACAAAGTTGACTCATAACACTGTTTACATGTCCGTCAAAAGACGATGTCAGCAAACCATAATTCTTTTAGCGGATACTAAATCTATCTTTGATTTTTGCTTAAAGGACAGTTTCTTGCATGCATCTGATTTCGAATGTTTTGATTTTAGTATTTCCTGCCATACCCACGTATAAACATTCTTTACCTGTGTGCTTATCAATTGCGATACTCATTGGCTCACGAACATCTTTCGATCCAACGAGGATTCCTATTTTCGTCAAGTTCGAGTTTAATTGAAAAATATTGTTTGACTTCATGCCAGCAACGAAAACCGTACCGTGTTCATCTATCGCTAATCCATGGGGACGATGTAATTTCTCGTCCCTAAACACAGCTCCAATTCTATCATCGGAATGTATTTTGATCACCACATGTCTATCAGCATCAGACACATAGAGCGATTCTTCGTCCAAGCTTAGAATTATAAATCGTGGATCCATAAACAACTTTTTTCCAAAACAGTCTCTATCCAGTAATCTAACTACTTGACCAGTTTTATTAAGGACTGTAATTTTGCTTGTAGGTTCATAATGTGACATATACAAACAACATTGACTTTTGCTGTAAGCCAGACTGCAGCAATCCTTCCCGACTTTAATGTCTTCCTTCCTATCCACAAAGTCTGAGTCAATAATGTCAAACAATTTGATTTTGCCATGAAGTGGTAGAGCTACTGCTATTCCAGTTCCATTTATGGATACTGCACTTGATGGACTTGATGACATAAATAATTTTGATAAAACATTTCGCCCGATTGGGTCAACCAACACAATTGCATTACGCAAGTATGCTACAACTACGAGAAAATCATCTTTGATTAATAAATGACTCATGTTTGTAGGACTTAACCAGTAAGAAGACAGATCAACATCAATATCGTTCTTATAACAAGCTGTTTTTGTCAGGAAAGTTTCTGAGAACAATATGTTTCCAAAGTCGGATTTTTCAACTATGCGGCTTTTGTTTGCTTTGAATTCGTATTCCATAAGCTCAGTTTGCTTATTTAAGCATTCAAGACCCTTCGTGACGGTGGCAATACTTCGGTCTAGTTTTTTGACGGCAATAAAGTTTGAGCAGCAGTTTTCCGATTGAGACTCCACAGAACGTAACATAGTTTTCATAGATTGAACGTTGCACGACAGAGAATCTATCGAAGGTTTAAAAGTGTTTTCAATCTCATCACATTTCTTTAGGAAATGACATTCAAGCTCTTTGATCTTACTTTCTAAGTTTTGTCTGTATTGATTTATAGATTCTCGAATTTTATCTTTCCTTTTTGTCGTTAGTTGATCGATTGTGTCTTCAATGTTTGCCAGTTTATCAGTTGCTTCAGCAAGTTTTGTGTCAACTTCTGTTTTGGATATCTCGTTTTCCCTGGCTACTTTGTAAAGAGATGTCCATTTTTTATTTCGACATCCGTCTTCGTGATTACAACCTTCGTTTGTTATACATTCTGCGCATGCGAAGTTATTACATTCCGTGCAAAAATACTTCATTTGTTTCATGTGATGCTTCAAACAGTTCTCAAAACGTACATCCTGCGGCATTTCATCTTTACTTTTAGTTGAATGTTCAGGTTTATACTTCGAATGGTACAACAAACAGCAGTTACACATATATTCACTGCAATCAACACAAAACCCATCAGCTTCAACAAGCTTTCCATCACTGTCACAATGTTCGCAAATATTAGGAATGTACTCCTCAGACGATGTTGTAACAATGTCAACATTTCCATTTAAATTTTCCATTTTCTTGATTTTAATTGATAGTGTTTCTGGTTTTCTTGTTCCCTGCCTATAAGTATAAATAGAACAGATTAACGAAATGTTCAAATACTGTATGCGGCTTGAATCCATGCATTTCATAGCAAACATGCAGCTATTGCATTAATAAACATTAACCAACCAATGTAAAGGTTTATAACACAACATTGATATTCTGAAGGGGAATGGTTATTATGAAAATTGTTGTTAAAGAAGAAAAAAGACATTATGTATGGTGATATACAACCAATAATACGATAGCAAGCTCAGTTTAATCCAGAGACATAGATAAATATTTTAGTGGAGGAAATGAATACCGTTTAGTTTTTGTAAAAATTCACTTACTTTAGTGTATACTAATAATTTGAACAGCCTTATGTTGTGTTTCCACAATAAACAATTGTATGACATTAAATTCACAACTTGAAGTACTTGAGAAAATACAAATCCTATTTTTTAATAAACTCACAAGTGGGTGTTTTCTTTACGCTTGCGTAAAGCTATCATCGGTAAAGTCTACTTTAACTCTATAGGTAGTCGTACAACGCTTGACAACCCTCTAATTTACAATGTATTAACCTTTATTTAGACTATTCATATGGACCTGCACATTATATACACAAGGGGTGTAACAGTTTGCAGGGTTATATGGATTATTACATTAAAGCTGTAAGAACCGCGTGATTCATGTAATTTTCTTTGTTTGAGAGTAGCGAATAAGAAGAAAATTAATTTCCCTGAATGTATTGAGTGACCGCTAGGTGTCGCTATTCGTATAATTTTGCACGTGCAAAATTATCGATTCAATAGTCATTCAGCTTTGGACAGTCAGACTGACCTGTACACTTATTTTAAAACCGGTTTTGTTTACAACGTGTTATGGCTTCGGGCGATGAAACTAACAGTTCCAGTATGAGTAATACAGGTATACATGAACAATTAAATGTGATATTGTCGGAGCTTTCCAGTTTGAAGAAAGAAGTACACAATAACAACGTTTCTGTTTCTTCAGAAGTAAAACATTTAAAAGCTGAACAGGAGATAAAGTGGAAGTTCGAAGGTAATAAGCAGCAGTATTGTTTCAACAGTGAACTTGCGGACATTGTTAAGCAGGCCTCGTGGGCTATTGAACACGGCAAATTTGAGTATTGTGGTGACCAGCTGAAAGAGTTGGCTGAGAAGTTGCACGTTAGAAATAAAGACATAAGGATAGCAGATAGTTCCCCTGCTGGGTGGGATACGGTGCGTCAGTATAAGTGCAATCCGGTAGCTAGCGATAGCGACGATGAAGCCAAGATCAATAAAGCGGAAAATCGTGCACTCAAACGTAAACGTTCTTCCACTAAAGGACGTGGCGCACGTGACATTGTGCGTCCTGTTGGTCCTAGTTTTCAGCAGCCTTATTCTTCAGTGCAAAGCGGGATGTCGGGCCGGGGACGTAATTTTCGTCCCTCATTTGCTCCAGTCTTGCCATACGGATACGGCTCCAACTTCGCTTATGGTACCGGAAGCGGCTTCCACGGCGGCCCTGTCAACCCAGGGCCATGTTTTCATTGCGGAGAGAACACCCACTTCCGAAGAGATTGTCCACGAGCGCAGTCATCAGCAACTTCCGGTTTCGGACAAGCCACAGCAAGGAAGTAGTTGTCAAGATACAGACATTTCTATGAAAGATGAGTATGATTGTTCACGGTTTACACATAAATATCATGAATATGAACAAGGTCAAAAGAATATTAAGGGCAGATTAAAAAGTCATATTGATTTTTGGAAGAAAATTGGTGGTAATGATTTCATATTAGATATTATTGACAAAGGATAGATTCCATTGTATTCTCAACCAGTTAATGTTATTTGCAAAAATAATAAATCAGCATTATTAGAGCAAGATTTTGTCTCTGAGGCGATAAATGATTTACTTGATAGACATTTGATCAAAAAATGTTCGAAAATTCCCTATGTAGTTAACCCTCTTACCGTATCAGTTCAAAATTCAGGTAAAAAACGTCTTATACTTGACCTGAGAGAGGTTAACAAGCACCTGTGGAAGCAAAGTGTTAAATATGAAGATATAAAAATTGCTCTTTCCTTAATTAAAAAAGGGTGTTTTATGATAAAATTTGATTTAACAAGTGCATATCATTTTGTTCAAATATTTGAACCGCATACAGAGTATTTGGGTTTTAGTTGGAAAGACCAAGATGACAATGTCATATATTATAAGTTTTTAGTACTTCCTTTTGGTTTATCGTCTGCCTGTTATTTGTTCACGAAATTGTGTAGGCCTCTGATAAATAAGTGGCGTGGAGAAGGATTGCTTGTTACAATGTTTTTAGATGATGGATTAGGGTGCGCGTATTCATTTGATAATACTGTGAGGTTAAGTCATATTATAAAAACAGATTTACTTAATTCGGGTTTCGTACCTAATGCTACCAAATGTATATGGGAACTTGTACAGATATTAGAGTATCTTGGGTGTGATTTGAATACAATCAATGGTACTATTTCCATTCCCGATCGAAGATTGTTAAAAGCACAAGAAACTATTGATTTTTTGATTGGCCTTATTGACAAGAAGTTTAAAGTTCCAGTAAGAAAAGTTGCTAGTGCAGTTGGTCAGTTTATTTCTATGACGACAGTCATTGGGCATATATCTCAAATTATGACTAGATATTTAACTTTAGATGTATTAAATGCACGGTATTGGGATGAGCGCATTTTACTCAGTGCAGAGAGTTATGAACAGCTTTTATTCTGGAAAGGTTACTTGTCGTGTATAGACAAGATAGATCTTGAACGATCTCATATCTGTACAAAAGTAGTGTATTCTGATGCAAGTGACACAGCTTAATCTGGGTATGAGGTTAATACCTTAAATGGGGTATCCCATGGCGTCAGCTCAGAAACAGAACGCACCAAATCTTCCACTTGGAGGGTATTGGTTGCTGTCTACAGAGTATTGTTGGCTCTAGGACATTTCCTTAAAGGTCAATATGTTTAGTGGTTTACTGATAATCAAGGGGTTAAGGATATAGTTTTAAAGGGTTTTATGAGGCAAGAACTGCAAGAAATTGCCTATGCAATTTTTCAGTATTGCATGAAGAATGCTATTTCCTTAGAAGTAGAGTGGGTCCCAGAAAACAAAATGAAAAGGCAGATTTTTTGTCGATGTTGTCTGATTTTGATGACATGGGAATTTCCTTTGATATATTACAAAGGCTAAATGATCAGTTCCGTCAATCAGATGTTGATTGGTTGGCGTCATATTATAAAGCTAAACTGACAAAGTTTTATTCAAGATTTTGGAACTCAGATTGTTTTGGGATTGACGCCTTTTCGGAAAGCTGGGAAGGGCAGTTTGGGTTATTTGTACCTCCTATATCTGTTATTCATAGAGTAATTATGAAATTGGCTTGTGATCATGCACATGGAGTATTAGTTATTCCTTGTTGGAAGTCCGCCATATTTTGGCCGTTTATATGCCCGAATGGGTGTTTCATAAAAGAAGTTGTAGATTGGTTTGATTTACCTACGGAAAGACATTTTTATATTAAGTGTAAAAATGGAAAAGGTATCTTTGGAAATACCGATTTAAAATTTAGAATGTTAGCTTTAAAATTACAGTTTACTCAAGGGAAATAATTAAGTTTGTATTTCTATTAAGTAATAACCGGATGGTCTCCCTTGCAAAAGAAAAATTGCGGTATCGCACATAGCAGTATAAGGGAAATAATTAAGTTTGTATTTCTATTAAGTAATAACCGGATGGTCTCCCTTGCAAAAGAAAAATTGCGGTATCGCACATAGCAGTATTGCTTTATACGGCGGGATCGCCTTTTGTATTGCTTGTTACAAGAACATAATGCTGTATAGCATTTTTTGTTATATAAAATTACAACAATAACAAGAGATAATAATAACAATGCATAAATTTGAGTTTGCGCTGATTTATATTATTGTAATTTTTCTTTTTTACATTTATTTCTGCAGATATACGCTGAAGATATTGAAGAACTGCCGGATGTTTTGGCGGGAAAAGTGGACTTGCTCCCAGACCTGTTGCGTAATTCAAGAGCACGAGGAACGGACAAAAAGTATACTGGTGCATTTTTACGTTTTCAAAAATGGGCTCTGTGTAATGGGTTGGGGAGTAGGGATACTTTGCCTGCTAAAATACTGACAGTTGCAATTTATCTAGCATCTCTTGTTCAGACTGTAAATTCGCCAAGCCCCATCGTTTCAGCTTTTTATTCTATTAAATGGTTTCACGAAATGTATGGATTAATTTCGCCTACATAATCAAAATTGGTTTTAAATGTTCTTGAAGCTAGTAAACGACTTCTGTCAAAGCCAGTTAAAAGGAAAGAACCTATTAATGTAGAAATTATTAATAGTATTTATGACAGATTGTATGTAGAGTATAATATAAAAAGTCAACGAATTATCTGCGCTATTTTGATTGCATATGCAGGTTTTTTAAGAAGTTCTGAACTTTTAAAAATTCGTGTTAGAGACATAGTGTTTAATTCTACTTATATGTCTGTTTTCATTGAAAGTAGCAAGACAGATAAATACAGAGATGGGGCTTGGGTATTGATCGCAAAAACGGGTACAAAGTTATGCCCAGTTGCAAATGTTCAGAAATTAATATTGTGGGGAGAATTTCTGGATGATCATTTTCTATTCTGTAATATAAGTGCAACAAAAACTGGATACAGAAGAAGGAAAATAAATAAGCCAATGTCGTATTCTAATCTACGAGATATTTTTATTGAAGTGTTAAAACCTCATGTTGATAATGTTAGTAATTATTGTTTGCATTCACTACGTTCAGGAGCAGCGAGTGCTGCAGCAAATAAAGGTATTAAAGACAGGATTTTTAAGAGACACGGACGTTGGGTTAGTGAAGGTGCTAAGGATATGTACATTAAAGACAGCGTTCATGAGCGTCTGTCAGTGTCTTTAAATCTCGGCTTGTGAATTTGAATTATGTTATAGACAATTTGTACACTTCCATTAATTCGTTGTGTTATGTTAATAATTTTCATTTAATATGCATTTTGAAATATAAGTTGGTCCACAATATATAATTAATACATGCCCGTTCTTTTTGGTTCATCTGACTGTCTAGACGCTTACTCAAATACAGAATTTGTATTGCAACTAGTTGTTGTTTTATATTAAAACAGTTTTAGGTATAGTCATACTCTTATGTAAGGGAAGGAATGGTATAAAGGAATCCATGTATCCACTATTTTAATCTTTAACAAGATAACGATAACTTGATGTTAGTTTAAATACAGCCAGATAAACAGTTTATTACTACGTAAACAAGTTTATCAAATAAACCGCGGCGCAGGAGTGTAATAAAGCCATTTAATAATCAAAGCACAGAAGGCGCTGAATTTGTTTGGGTCTCAGAATGTCAGCAAGGTGAATAAACCAATTTGTTTGTATAGTGTCACCAATGCTGTTTTCCAGTGCTATAGTAAATTGGCTATAAGATTAATCGCAACACTGATATTCAATTAAATGTTTATTTGGCTTAAACAAAAAAAAGAC